ATTTGCTGGCCGCCCTTGGATGGGCCTCGAGGCTAGTTTTCAAAAACGCCGTGCTCATGCTGCTTCAAAACTGCATGCACATTTCGGAATGGTTTTGGAGTGGGGTGCGGGCCCTGGCCTGGCGGGGCCGGCCCTGCCACTTTTGTAGCCAACAGCAAGAGACAGCAATAACAACGCGGCACAGCAATAAGAACAGTGAGAATTACAGCAACTAACAAGGTAACAGGTGCAGTAACCAACGGGACACGAAGTACATCATAGTAGAGGTAGATCATGGTAGAAGTTAGAGTGGTCGGAATGGTAGTTGTTAATGGCAACAGTATTGTAGGGCCTGGAAAAGGAAAAACGGACCCCTGGCAATGCTGATGATGTTGATGATGCCGCATCATCAATTTCATTGGAGGGCCTATTCTCCATTTGTTGGCCTGCCTGGGTCCCTTGACCTGTCCTTCAGTCCAAATTCTTTTTGGCCCAGCCCCCTTGGGCAGGCCAATCCATGCTCATGGTGCTTTTTTGGGGGGCTGATGGCGTTTTCAGTGGCTGGAACAGCTCGGCAACAGGTGCGAGTTACCAAAAGATCACTTCAGTAGCGAAATCGACTCCCAATTGTGCTGATGATGCCCCTGTAACGGCGCGCGTGTGCGCCGGTATCCGAGCATTATTAGCACAACTTGAGGTCCGTTTTGCCACCCTACAGGCAGTTTTAATTACCAGCACACGGAGGGATTTCTGAAGGATTTTTCGGGCCCCCAGACCCGCAAACACTGAAGTGAACCTCACAAAGTCATGGGCACCACAAATAGCCCGCGTGCAGGTATGAAGAGTCCGCAAAACCATCCTGTAATCGTCATGAAGCCAGCAGGTGCGCTAGACCTGAAAACCAGCATAAACCCGCAGAAAACCTACATCAGACCATCACAAATTGTGCAACCCATCACCTACTTATCAACACTCTCATGACAAACCCATCATAGAACTCGCGAAGACTCATGATAGCCTCCATGGTTCCAGCATCCAACCCTCGGGAAGCCCATCAGGCCTGGCCCAGTGGGCACAGGCAGCCTAGAAGCCTGGCAGAAGGGGAAACGGGACCCCGATGATTCTGATGATGCTGGCCAAAGGGCCAGCATCATCAGCATCATTGCGGGTCCGTTTCTCCAACTGTGACCTCCCATTTTTCTCAGCCCTGCCCCAGTAGTTTTCAAGACGGTCCGCAGATTTTGGGGGTTCTGGGGCCCTTCAAAATCCTTCAAAAATCACTCCGTAGCAGGGAGGATTCGCTTCAAAAACAAAGTGAATTTCAGCGTGGTTTTGGAGTGGGGTCGGGGAGCGGCCCTGGGAGAAACGGAGGTCCGGTGATGCACGGGCAGGGGGGTCGGCGGCGCCAGGGCCGGATTTGGCTTGCGCCTGCCGCCGACCCCACAACGGGCCTGTGGAGGAGAGACGCTAGGGAGGAATGGCGGGCTCACCTGGTGACAGCAAGCGACGGGGAGCCATCTTTTTGCGGAGAAAAAAGTGGAGACAGAGCCACAGCTGCGAACTCCTGATGCCGCAGACGCTGGCAATCCAGCACAATGTTGGCAAGTGTGCCCCTACCTAGCCTGACTGTGCGCGCGTTTTCTGAACTTTTGAGCGCGATGCGAGCGTCTCAGCGGTCTGTCTCTGCTTGTTGAAGGTGGTAATGTGAGAAGCCAGCACTGCCCCAGCAACGGCCTTGTAATTGGGCAGAGCTGGCAATGCAAGAATCTGGCGTGCACGTGTGCTGAATGCATGACATCAAGCAGACTTGTGCAATCATGTGTAATAACTTGCTGGGCTGCAAGAGCTCCATATAGCTTAATTTAGGCATCATGAGGAAAACAGCACGGAAAGTGCAGCAGACAATGTTCAGCCTGCGCATGTCGGAACTTACTCTTCGCAAGTGCTTCCTTTCGAGGTTCTTGGCTGGACAACTGGCGAAACTCGTTCGCTCCAGCAGTTTTTACCTTTGTGCTCCACAGTTTTGCCGAAGTGATGTTGACAGAGCTTCTTAGTAGCTAGCTACTACACCAGGACTTCCGCTTCATCAACCCAATTGCGCGAGGCCAGGAGGAGGTGGAGTCGGGCTCTCAATCACGAAGAAGCGACCTCACTCGCAATCTCCTGCGGCTATGATTGCTATGCTGAGAAGCTAAGGTTTGAGGATTATCCTGCGGGCCGAAGGACCGCATGCAGGCTTGACAGGGCCGACGTTATGCCTTATGTGCAGGCCCGGATTGCTACTGTACGGTCGCAGCAGCTGTAGCAGCATCAAGAGCGGCAGCGATGGGGATGGCAACAGCAGCAAAAAGGCCCAACGCCTGGTGCTGCTGTTACTGCCGCTGCTGCTAATGAAACTACTGTTTTCATTGCTGCTAGCGCTCCTATTGGAGCTGCGAGTGCTGCTATTGCCATCACCTTTTCCATATTGCTGGAATCATCATTATGCGTGTACTCTTGTTATCCGTGCATTATTTTGTTATGATTGCTATTTATTGTTATTTTTATGATCCTTATTATTACTGCTGCTTACTGCTGCTGGCAGGGCGCCGCCGCCGCCGCCGCCGCCGCTGCTGCTGCTGCTGCTGTTCGTCTGCTGCACCAGCAACAGCACTAGCATGACAGTGGATGGCTGTTGCGGTGGCAGCAAAGCAGCAGCAGGACAGGTGGCACAGGGGCGCTGGAGTCACTAGCATTCTCGAAACCTGCCACAGCATTCGCCGCCGCTTCCTGCCATGCCATGAGATTGCATGTCGCCGTCATTGCTGCTGCTATTCATGCCGCTATTGTTCTTTTTGCAGAGCTCAGCGCATGGGTCTGAGTGGATTTCATGCACGCCAAACTCTGTCGGATTCGCAGAGTTCGGTCAATGCGGTTTTTTGGGGCTCGGAAAAGGCTTGCGATGTGTTGCCACGCAACATGCCCTTAACACCTTGAATGTTACAAGCAACGCAACAGGATTTTGAATAAGTGGTAGTACTTAATGTTGCGCTCTCTTGAGTGTATGGGGTCCCCCCCTCGCCTCCTAACAATGGGGCCTCCGAAAAATTCAACATAAGCGTCCTCAATAAGGCTCCCACGGTACTGAGGGCCCTAGGGAGGCCTTGGGGATTGGTTTAGAAGGAGATGGTCTGGATTCAGTTAGGGGCACATTAAAGACAGTCATGAAACAATAGGCCGAAACTCTTTAAGCGGCGGCCGAAACTCATCAAAGAAAGTCTCTTGGCAAAAAGAAAAAGTGAGTGCAACATTACTGTTTGCAGGTACTGCATAATGCAGTGCGACAGCTTCCCGCTCTGATTTCGACGCAGCCGCTCTACAGGGGGCATCGCCGCGAAATAGCATTACCTGCAGGGTCAGTGGTACTGCTGACGCCTGGCTGCAACAGTTAGATGTGGAACCTTCCGCAAGACGTCACGGCGGGACATCTGTGAGCGGAGGCGTGGCTTCACAAGTACATCTTATGACTTGGATGGTGCTGTGACCTTCGTCAAGCAAGCAAACCAGGGAAGGCCTCCGCATTCTGTGCCCATGCTGTGCTTGTTTGGTCCTTTGCATGATTC